GCGGCATAAAAATGTTTTGAATGAATGAATGAATGATTGAGTTGCTCTCCCAGGGAACGTTTGAAGCCCATAGAGCATCCACTGCCTATTGGGGGAACTAGTATGACCACAGATATAGCATAAGTTTTCTTTATATTTTGCATTCGTATTTCATTTTTGCATTCAATCAGTTGAGAGCAGCTTTGGCACAAGTGTTTTTGTTCCTTCCTGGTTATGGCTGGACTGGGGTTAAAATGTGGAGTCAAACCCATTTTTCTCTTACCTCTTCATAGTCAAATGGCCTCCCTTTCCTACCACCTCTCCAGCTTTAATACCAAATTAGATCGCAGGGGGTTGTTGTTTCATGCATTTATTTTCTACCTTACCTCCTTTTGACGAACCCAAGATGGGTGAGGCTGAGAATCTGTGGCTGGCCAGTGAACTCCATGGCTGAGTGGGGGGCTAACACCTGGATTTCCCAGGTCCTCAGTCCAGCATTTGAACCACCACACTACCCTGGCCATATCTTGAAGCAGACAATTGTTCCGTGTAGCTCAGCACCGTCTACACTGGGAGTTCAGAGTCAGGCTATTTTGGGCATCTTGCACGCCCACCATGTAAGATGATGTCTGTCAGTGACCATGAGAACATATCCTGCTGATTTCACCCCTCTCCCATGTTGCTGTCCTCCAAGATGAGAGAGGCATCCGTGGGGGAGGATGCACACATGCCAAGTCCTTGGCTTCCAAGTCCCAGCACTACCCAAGTCCAGAGCCTTATGCGGCAGCTCTGCAGGCCAGATTAGGTTCAGCAACCCTGATTTTCCCTGATGTGCAGTGGTTCTCCAGGTTTCAGGTAAGGGCTCTCCCTGCCCTACCTGCTAGAGATCAAAGCCAGAGCCATTTCAGTGCACAGCACTGAGTGACAGCTCTCCCCCTGAACTGAGAGAAGGTGTAACAGGCTACAGCGGGAGAAGTGGCTGTATTCCACAGTGTTGTTATTCAGATTCACACAGCAGTGTGCAAGTGCAATGTGCAGTGGGTTGCACAACTGCTTGTACAACCATAACTTTACTGGGATTCTCCTCCTACTCACTAGCACAACATAGTTGGATATCACCCAAGGTAGAGAAGAGTTCAGTTTCCCTCAACCATACCCTTCCTGATGCTTAAATTAACCCCATCACTATTTTTATATATGAATGGGACATATATGCGATTAAAACCCTGCTTGAATCATGTATGTTGGGCCTATGTCATTCCAGTGATGCCTCTGTTGTCTTGTATAACTTTTCAAATGCTGCTGAAAAGTAAACTTGAAATCTGGAAGACATTAACTCTGTAGTGTCCTGTTGAATGCATCTTGTGGAAGAAGATCTGAGTGTGGTGCTGCCCCACCTCTATTAGAAGAGTGATTTGAGATTATGACTGATCGGTCATGGCAGATGCTATGAATCTAGAACAAACGGCAAAAAATTTAAAAAATGACACTTCTGTACATGAATTGGATTAATAGCCATGGGGATGTCAGGACATCCTTGCTGGCCATTAAACTCTCTCAGAACAGATGTTGCGAGAGATTTAAGGGAGAGAAATGTGGTCTTTGGCTTTGTCAACATTATGGGTTTATTGTAGGTCACTTTTGAACTGAAGAGGGCTTAGCCAACAGCTGTGTTGCAGACTCGGTACTGCGGCATGCAGGTCTGAAAATTGCACAGCTGTGCACAGGGGCTCCTGAATGTTATTTGCCTGGGCTGTGTTGCACTGCTGGGGAGACAGGCAAAGAATCCTGGCCATTCGTTCCAAACAAATAAAGAGAGGCCGTTTGTTGTCTAGTCCATAAGGCAAAACAGACAATAAAAACATAGTCCCGTCTCCTTTATAAACAGCTGACTGAGAAAGGATTGTTCCCACAGGTGGAGGTGGAGCCTCTGGCCCACCCAGCTCTTTGAATTCCATCAGTCAAGCACAATGCCTATAAAAGGTCAGCCTATTTCCTTAATACACTCACACAAAAAAGCATGGGTGACAGTGCCAAAGGTTGATTAAGTAACTAAGGTGGTGAAAGTCACTTCCACAGTGGTTCTAGCTGTGAGTCTGGCTATTGCAACATCATATCTAGAGGCTGTGGCAGGTAAATTGGTTCCTTGTGGGTTTCTGCCATCACTGCCCTGGTTGGTTGCCCTGTTGCTATACATAGGAAAAATCCCTCTGGCGCCTGAAGCCTGCCCCATGACAAAGCAGAAGCTGATGTCTTTTTATTTCTCTGTTCCGTCTTGCTTCCTTCCCTTGCTTCTCTAAACAACCTCGGTTGTGTTTCCAGAGCTGTTGTTTTGCCAGTTACCTCTTCCCTCTTCTCTCTGTTTCCTTGCTCTGTTTCCACATCACGCGCCATTGCTGAGTGTCAGTGAGATCTCCAGGAGCTGCCACCAGTCTGTGAACAGCTCTTGGTTCTCCAGAGACACTGTGAGCTCATTCCAGTCCCTTTTCGCAATTTGTTATTTGGAGTTCGAGTGTTTTAAACTCTCCCCTTACACATTTGTCCTGCAACATTTTCCAACGACTTCTGAACAGTTCCATCCCTTAGACGCATTTCAGAGATTAAAAGGAGTATCCCATGAGAGCAGCAGGTGAGCAGTTGGTGATCTGGGGCTGCAAAGGGAAATGTGAATCTTAAACAGGAAGGTTCTAGATTGCAAAAAAAAGTTCTCATTACGTAGCCCAACTGGCATGCCCACAGAGGGGTTTACAGTCATGGTCAGGACAGATCTGGGGAAGCCTTGTGAGGGTGGGGCACAGCTAATGGCCCTTCGAAGCCCTTGGCTTCCTCAAAGCCCCTTTGCCATTTCCTTATTTATTCATTTATTGCATTTTTATACTACCCAGTAGCCAAAGCTCTCTGGACAGTTTGCAACAATCTAAAACAAATCTAAAACATCACCTACAGTATAAAAATGTAAGTAGTTGAAACAGCAGTATAAAATCAAAGTGAAAACCTACCAGCAGTACGAAGATTTAAAACACAACCTCAAATTTAAAACAGCCTGAAATTAACATTCCTAGAAGAATTCATGGGAAAATAAGATGCTCTTCGCTTGATGCTGGAAAAAGTGCAAAGTGGATACCAGTCAAGCCTCCCTGAGAAGTTCATTTCATTAGAGAGGTATCACTAATCATTGATTAGCATATTAAGGCTGAAGTCTAGACAAAGGTAAGCTCAGGAGCCAGTTTGGTGCAGGGGCTCGGTCGCCAGGCTAAGGCAAGGGAGACTCTGGTTCAGATCCTCAGTCATGAAACTCCCTGGATGAGCTTGGGACATTGCTCTCTCTTTGTCTAACCTGCTCCACAGCTTGGTTGTGAAGACAGAAAGGGGTGGGAAGAGAAACACGTAGGTTTCCTTGAGCTCCTTGGAAGGGAGGGAGAGTTACGAAGGAATGCCCTGTTAGATGTGCTACTACAGGAAAAAATGAAGCTGTGATTATCAGAGTTGATCTTGTTTGTACCCAGCCATGCTAGGATGGATCTAGACTGAACTGCACTTAGTTCACTTTGAAACTGATGGTACTTAAGTGCAACCTATACTGACTTGATCTAACTCAGAGAATTTTCTCATGCAGAAGTATCCAAAGCTGCCCACAATAAACGCATATTTGACAAAAGCAATCTTTTCTAATGCCTACAGCTATCTTGGGTTCCAAGCTGAACCTGCTGAAATTCCCTGGTCTATAAAACTGGAGTACTGATGGTGAAAGTTTGGCCATCTCTGAATGAGCACTTTGTTCAGGTTCCCAAGATACATCTGGGTGCGTTAAAGGCCTTTTTTGGCTGATACGAGCATTCTTGTTGGCAAACATCTTTCTCCATTCTAAAAGGATATAGTTTAACAAAAATAAGCCTCATAATTTTAAGATTATCATAACATGTTTGGTCTGTGCATTTCATATTAACAGATCAACAGGGCTGAAGAAGCATAGGTATCATTTTGCTGAGTATAGCACTGTAGCACCATCTTGTGTAGGCAGAGTATTTTTAGTTTATGTTTTTGAAATTCAAATAAGGATTCTTTTAACGTAAGGTAAATAATCTAGTAATCTTATGCAACCATTATCTTAAAATATTCCAGATGCAGGCAAACAATTCCTCCTGATTTTCAAAAGTTTGCTTAGGCATGGTGATGCTTTTTCAAGGACCTATGGCTTTTATAATCCAAGATACCTTTTTCCAGAAAATGTGAATTTTACTGAATATGAACAGGTGTCACAAAGACCAATTGCTTCTTTGTCAGCTTTTGCATGGTAGCGGAACAATTCTGTCACTAACCCCGCTTCCCATTTTGCTGTTCCAATTTAGCTTTTGCTTTCAATCTAGTTTGCTTAACTGCCTTGTAAATAATGTGAAGCGCCTATAAGGGCTTGGATGAGTAACATGGATTAAATCCCATCAGCTCTTTTGTGGGCTGTGAAAACCTCACAGCATATTTGCATGTTCATTAAGATAATTTGGTTCAATTTGAGCAGATAGATAGCCCAGATCTAAGATCCTGAAAGAATTTACCTTTCAAATGTATCATTGGCCTGTTTTAACTGTTGCTTGCCAGCAATCCAAGCAGAAGCTGTCCTAGCTTTTTCCACTGTAAACTCTGCTATTTCTGTCTACCATCCAGCATGGCAATATGAAGTATTTTGATTATTTGTTCACAGCAGACATTTTGATACGCAAATGCTGCTGGCTTTTGAGAGCACAAGAACAGTGATGGCTTTAGACCAAGTGTCTGTTTCATTCAGCAATCGGGAGGAGGGATTTCTGTTTTTTAATGTGTGATTTTGGATTACTGAGTACAGATTATAATTTTGCGAAACTCAACAGGATATCTGAGATGTACCTCTGACTGACAAAATAAATTCTATTTCTACTCTTCCGGGTTTTCCTTAGGCATGGTAGATTTAAACACTATATGAAATGTACCATTCATGGTAAGCTGTGACCCCAAAGTCTTGATGTGGAAATGTTCTTTCTTTTCAGGGAACTCCTGTCCTACAATGGTGACTGCGATATATCCATTTGAAGGACAACAGCCAGGAGACTTGACATTCAACGCTGGGGACAAAATCAGGGTCACAATGAAAACAGATTCTCAGTTTGATTGGTGGGAAGGAAGCCTACAGGGCAGGACTGGCATTTTTCCAGCTAACTATGTTACCATGAACTGAAGCACAACGCATTGCCTTATCCTTTTGTCTTAATGCCTTTTCACACTTAGAGAAGAGATTGCTTATTTTGTATTTGGCTTGAACCAGTTGTGCTTGGCCAAAGGAGAGAAGTCCCGCTAGTCTCAAGAAAGCCGAGACCTGCCACCCTCACAAGTGTGCAAGCGCACAGACAACGGCATTGTAGGAAACAGGAGCTTCAGTCGTGCCTCCCACATGCCCCATCGCGCTTTCCCTCTGTGAGTTGTGGGAAGGTTGGATGGGCATGTGGGAACTGCACATGGACTCCTCGTTTCTTGCAGCATCTGCACGTGCCAAATGGTGCTCACATTAGTACAAGGCAACATGGTCAGGTTCATGAGACAGGTTGGACTTCTCGACAGATGAAGGCTCTGCCCATAGTCTGCTTCTTGAATAGACAACCTGGGGCCCATGAGCACTTTTCTTGGTGCTTGTGAAGGTGCCTTATCCCTCCGGCATTTTAATTAACGTATTTTCTAACTAGCAGCTGGGATTGCTGTGGAAACTGTGAGTTCAAAGGAGTTGCTTAGGGTGTTGGGACTTGGAAACCCCCTTCCCCCACTTCTGCCTTGTACTAAGTGTTTGGGGCAGATGACTTGCTTACCCTTTGCATTGCCTCTGCTGATCACGATTTTGAGAAACTCACATGACAGCAATTGCCAAATATGCCATGGTCCTCACAGGGTTTCCTTCCTTTGGATTAAGTTCTCTATTGTTACAATTTTTAAAAAATTAAGATATGATTTCCAAAATTATTTTATTTTTTTCTATAACTTAATAATTTAATGAGCAAATCACAAAAACTAATCTGAATGAGCTGCATGAGTGATGCTAAATTTAATATATTCTGTGTTTTGTATATAACAGTTTCCATTAATAATGCATAATAAATTCTTAAATTACTTCTTGCCAGTTGGATTTCTTAATTCTGGTCAAACAAAATGAGTAGCCCATATCTTAAGGAACAGTGGTGAAGGAAAAGATGTGCGTGCATGTATGGATGATAGATACAAACATATAATATTAAACACCACACTTCCAGGATTCTATCATGCTGTACAGCAAGGGTGTTGACTCTTATGCCCTGGGCCAAATCCAGCCTGCTTGGAGTCCTGTTTTGGCCCTGCAGGGTTCCCCAGACAGGCACGCCCCTTTCCTTGGCCACCAGTCGTTTGATGTTTACCTGGCATTTGCTGTCTATTCTCTCTGTTCCAAGAGATTGAAATTCCTTTCCTATGTTTTACTTATTGGCAATAGAAACTCTTAAGCTAAAATATATTGGTATGTTTGTCCTACTCTTTTGATCTAGGCCCTGCTAACATTGCAATGCACATCGAAGATCTACTCTGAAATGGAAATCACTCCTTGAGCTGAAGGGGTTTGACACTCCTGCTATACAGAAATGACTGGATCCCACTCAGTACCAGAACTATCATGAACTCAAATATTATTTATGAGAACCTGTTTATGAGAAAATGTGACTCCTGTTTAATATTAGTCGGGATCCAAAGTGTATATGCTCCCATATTAATGGGCCTATGCATTAAGATAATCAGAGGAGATCCTTTTCCATAATCCATCTAAAAGAAGTAAAAAGCAATCAACATTGGAATCATTTCCTAGAAGGGTTAATATCTGCACTTTACAAGGTCCACTTTTTGATGCCATTGTCTAGGAAAGATATGGAAAAAAAAGCACTGAATAAGAGCAAAACTGTAACAAAAGTATTGCAGTTTGAGTCAAAAACAGTTCCAAAGGCTTCTGCTACAATTTTGCCCCCATCAAACTTTATTTTTCCTAGATAACCAGGCACTTTAATTTTAAATTTGCTGATAGAATCACAGTATCCTAGAGTACTGTAGTTAGAAAAGATTTGTAAGTCCATCGGGTCCAACCCCTGCTCAGTGCAGGGCTCCAAGTTAAGCCGTCCCTCTCAGATGACTGTCCAGCTGCATCTTGAATGCCTCCAAGTCGGGATAGCCCATAACCTCCCTGAGTTCCTAATGTCCTATTACTCCAACTGCCCAGCAGTTTTCCCTGATATTCCGCCAGATTCTGGCTTCCTGTAACTTGCACTTATTATTCTGTGCCCCTTACTCTGGAATGATTGAGAAGCAATTGCGGCCTTCCTCTATGTGACAAACTTTCAGGAAAAGAAAAGTGCTATCATAACTCCCCTCTGTTTTTTCTTCTCAAGACTTAACATGCCTAGTTCTTTCAGTCTCTCCTTACAGAGTTTGTTTCTAGTCCCCCGGTCATCTTTGTTGCCCTCCTCTGCACCTTTTCCAGTTTGTCAGCATCTTTCTTAACTGTGGTACCCAGCACTGGATAGAAATAATTCTTTATGTTTCTCAGTGTTAGTGCATTTACATGTGGGTTGTATGCATTCATTACTGTAGTGAAGATCTGATTTTTACATGTACTTCCCCTAAAATCATCTCTTGGATGGAGCATTAGAGAATTGTAAAATGTGGAATAACTGAATGTTTTAAGGTATTCTCAGCCAAGGATGGGAAGCTGACATTAGACACAATGGAGCTGCAGCCTGTCGATTACCAGTAAAGTCTGACACTTTTACACATAAGGGTTCATCTTTGGGTATTTTTTGACCCTTCTGATAGAGGCTAGACTTGAGCAGAGAACAAGAGGAACTGTGTATGGCAGAACGCTGTGCTATGGAGAATTGATTTTCTCCTCACTGTGCGGGGCAAGTGTGTCTTCTTTCCCTGTATGTGTGTATCTGGTCTGCAATATGCACCCTTAATTTACTCATGTGGTTTGCAGCATTTTCACTTGCAGCATTTTCACACCAATCTTCAGCCAAAACAGTTCGAAGAGTGGCTTGCAAGCATCAGTGACTGTCCCTGCCCCCAGGTTTATAGTCTTAAAGACAGGACAAAAGGGGGGAAATACTGGGAAGGAAGGCAGATGGGAGGGGCAGGCAAACCCAGGCGCTCATTCTTAAGGATAAATCCAACAAACCAGGTGGAGGATATTCCCCTCCCATGCTACATGCCCTCAAAGCCTAGGGAGGACAGAGGGACCCTCTGGAACAGACTTTGGTGGTGCATAAGGGCCTGCAGAGGGGAGGAAAGAGGGCAGATCTCTTCCCCTGGGCAAAAGTTCTGTTGTGTGACACTGGAGTCTGCCCTAAGTTACAGAGTTCACAGCACAGCCAGCTGGAATGGAAAACAATTCAAAGACAGGAGAAGACCCAAGTCGCTGGTTTCAGTGCTCTTGGAGGAGTCCCTCGTCTGGCTGCTCCCTCAGCCAGGGAGCATCCTTGCTCCCCTCCCTCTCTCTGCTATAGCCCGATTGTATAGCTGCTGCTGTCACAGGAAGTGGAAGGAGGGAGGTGCCTGGGAGAGTAATTTGGGATCACTAAATTCTCTGGTATCCCTGCAAGAAAGGGAGGAATACATGATTACCGGTGGTGCCTACTCCATGAGAAGAAGGGAGGAGTTCTTTTATAGGCCTGAAGAGGCTTCTTGTTTGTCTGTCAGCGTGTTGGCCTACTGATTTCTGCACATATGCTGTGTGCTTGAATGTGAAAAGAATAAGTTGTGGGAAGTGTGCACCATAAAGTTGCAAAGCAGAACATTGAATTCCCTGCTTTGGACATAGCCACGAACACCCCACCCACAGCCTGGTCTTGGGATAAGCTTTCTGGTCATTTTTTGGATTTCTGGATGACATTCATTGTCTGACTTCTTGAAGATATTTTCAATAATAGGAAATTTAATATTTTAAAGGGAGAGGAAAGAATAAAATGTAACATTTTAAGTTTGTTAGAAAATCCCCCATTAGAACTCTGTTAGAATAGATTCTAATGCAGAGGTGTTATTGCTTGATTCAGGTTATCCTCCGTTTAACCTCCCTGCTGCATGTTCTTTCTCAGTACTCTTTCTATAAACAGTGAAATAAAGTCCATAGCACATTGCCTTTAAAAAAAAAGTCTTGTGTTACATATAGGCCTGTATTCTTTACACAAGCCTTTTTGTACTAATGGCACTAATCTATTTTCTTTGTATTTGATTTTTAAAGCTAACGCACACGTTGAGGTAGAATCCTAAGCTTTCATTCTGACTTTAATTGGTTGCCCATCATCCATCAGATTCTGACAATCTTGGATATAAAAGCTCAACAAAAGTGTTGTGGGTCACTTGAGTGTTGCGGGTCACTTACTTTGTATATGGGTTTTTAATTAACTTACAACAGTTGGGCCAGCAAATATCCATGTATTACAACTAAGAGAGTTTGCCAGAGGCTATATAAAGGATGTTGTAGATCCCTTGACCTTAAGAGCTTTTTGAAGTCTGTCTTTTGCTTTTGTTAGACTGGTGTCAGATAATGTTGAGATTAGTGCCCTACATGCATCAGAAGGGATGAATGGCACCTCCGTTCATTTCCATAGTAACTCAATCTTCCCTGTTAGGTATCCCATGTAACTGACTCCTTGTCAGTCCAGCTGTGGGTTTTTAAATTTCTCCCAATTGTAACACTTGATCCTTTCCAGAAAGTTTAGTCCCACAGCCCAATGTTCATTTCTGGCATTTGGTATACCTGATGTAATTTTGGTAATTTCTTTAGCTTGAGGTCTTTTTAGCTTTCCAGCGGAATGACCATTCTGAAACTATTTGTAGCTTGGCACTGGCATTCTGTACCCCTTTAAAATAAAGCTTGTAAAGGAATTCCTTCTTCAAAAGCTAAATATCAACTTTCACATACATGCTCTAAAAAGTTTGCAGAACATCCCACTCCATTGTTCTCCCCTTGGACCAAATATACTTTTCTACTCCTTTCTTTTCAACCCCCCTTTCTCTTTCCTCTCTTTCTCCTAATCTCTAACCCAGCTTCCCCCAACTTGATGTTCTCTGTATTATTTATTTTAATTAAAGCATCTTTATCCCACTCAGTCCAAAAGGCTTCTGGAATGGCATATAAGAAAGTCCACATGTGTGGTATTACAATCCCCATCATCCCTGACCCTGGGCCATGCTGGCTAGGGGGGATGAGTAAAGTGAATGAATCTCTTTCCCATCCTTTGCTATTGCACACTCATTGCAACCAAATCTGTTGTCATATGTTGGCCATGATGCAGAGATACGGAGCACCTGTACTTGCATTGAGGCATTGCTTTCCTATCCAAGGTTTCCTTTCAACAAGTGCTATATATGAATGACTGGTGCTCCAACCGAAAGCATATCGCCTGTGATCTGCAGAAGCAGTGGCACTGTGGAAAGAAACCAGCTCAGAAGACAGCAAAGCTGGTGTTTGTCTCCTAATGTTTTCCTTTGTCCACCTGCACGCACACTTGTCTACAACAGTTTTGTTAGAGAGGGTCTTTGCTCACCCTTAGTCCCCTGTACAGCTACTACATGAGCCCGTCTTCCTTGGTTACCTGGGCTGCTTGAACATTTATTTAGAAGCAACCTATTTTCAGGAACAAATCACTGGAAATATCATCAAACTCCTTGGAGGACAATGGAGCTCCTTTCTGTGACTTCTGCTGACTGGTTCCATTTGGGAAATGGTAGATTTTGGCTGCTCTTGGAAGTGCCAGCAGTCACTCCTGCTAATGCGAGGGCAGCTTTGCATTCTGCCCAGTGGGTTTAAAGCAGCCAACCTGGAGGTTGTCCTCAAATGTGATGGACTGCCACTCCCATAATTCCCAGTGAGAATGACATAGTGTGGGTGGAGCCAACCCACTGGCCGTCTCTTCTCTGGAGTAGAAAATTAATGCACACTCTGATGGGAACTTTCCATGTCTTGGTTCAGGCTGCAGTGCATGTGCAGCCCAAGTACAGTGCTATGGTGAGAAGGACATCCCATGTTTATAACTGGAGATTTCTTTGTTCCTATCCCATCTTCTAGGACCAGGTCTTCATCAGGCAGCATAGAAA